TGGACCTGGGCATGCACCCCTACCAAATGTGCGTGCAACATCCCCTGCTACTGGTGGATTTGAAAGACAGATGAATTTTTGTCAGGTGAGTCGTCGACCAGCTGCAGGCAGACATGCGATTTGTCCATCATTTCGTCATCAGCGATGAAGCTGGATTTTCTCACTACGGAAAAGTCAACTCACGCAATGTTAGAGAGTATGCCCCCAAATAACATCCATCTCCCTTTAATTACTATGTGGAGTGTCATGACCTAGCGGTTAAGAGCACCGGACTCATGCTCTGGTGTTTCAGAGGCTACAGTGACGTGGGTTCGAGCCCGGGCCCGGACACTTGTGCCCTTAAGCAAGGCACTTAACCATTATTGCTTCATCCTTCGGATGGGACGCTAAGCCGGAGGTCCCGTGTGTTGTATAAGGCCCAACGCACGTAAAAGAACCCAGTAACACTTATCGCTAAGAGAAGGGGTTTGCCCGTGTTTCTGGCCTCCTAGTTATACCCTTGTGGAAGTCCTTAGGAGAAGAACCAACCAAGTATGAAGTACTAGCCCAACTTCCAACGTGAGAAAGTGAGTGTCTGGGTTGGCCTATGTGGCAGTGACCTCATCGTTGGACCGGTGTTTTTTTCAGGGCAACCTCAACAGCCAGCGTTACCTTGAGATAATAAATGATGATGTCATCGCCATCCTTAACCCTTTCAACTCAGCCCTGTGTAAAATTAATTGCTGGCGATCGAAAATTTCAGAGTATTGTATTTTGTGTCTGCCACCCTCTTTTGACTCATGTTTGAAACAATTTTTGAGCTTTATAGACTGGCTACCCACTGGTGTTGTTTGTTTTCGTATCTATGCGGTACGTATTCACAGTTGAAGTGAAAAAGACGTCAGACCTCCATTGCTTATCGCGAGTGTTTTTTTATGACCATTCGTCATGTGTGGTGAATTGAAGTACGGTCTTTGTCACCTCTTTTGCCCTAATTCCTGACTAAATCTCTTTTCCCAAGAAGTGAGAGTCGTATTTTGTAGTAGTGCATTCAAAAGTCTCCTAGCAGTTTGTTTTCATATTTTTTTGCCAAAAATCCACAAAAAGGATTGACAACCCCAAATTTTGATTTTCAAAATAGCTCCCATTGAGAGGGGGGGGGGGGGAGGATGTGGTCATATTTTGATTTTTTTGTCCAAAACTGTTTATTGCCTACAGTAGCTCACAAGCTTTCACCAAGTATATAATTTACCCAGTCATAATAATGAATACTAATTAAAATGGTATACAAATATTGGATGCTTCGAGTGGTGTAGTAAAACTAGCCTCCCGAGGTGATTCGCCTCAGGAAATAGAATGCTCCATGGATCACCGAGGAAGGCTAGTTTTACTTCACCACAAGATAAAGCATTAATCTGAACACAGTTAAAATATACTTCAATTTCAATACAAAATTGGTGGGAAATGTAATTCTCTCCTCCAAACCACCCCTTCATGAAATGTTTGAATTTAACTCTGTGGCGTGCTGACTTGGGAAAAATACGCACTATGCGTAACGCTCAATGCGCACACCAGCATGCATTTGCATACAAATGCCGAGCCATGGATATAGTACTCTGGTTGCTAATGGTATAGTAGTTTGGTTGCCATGGGAATAGTACTTTTGGCCATGCACAGAAACATAGCAAAAATAGAAAGTACCATGTGACTCGCTCTCGGCCAATCAAGACACAGAATCTGTGGGTGAAGTGTTATAATCCCAGATATTAACTCCAGTTATAATCCTAGATATTAAAGAGAACTTTGAGGTTCAGGAGCGAGGTGTGTTTAGTTGTGGTGAGCTCAAGATGGCGCTCCGGCTCATCGTCTACTGGCTGTCCACGACTGCCTTCACGAAGTGTTTGGAGACAGTGTCATAGCGTTGAATCAGCAAGGGTCATGAAATGTCATCTTAATCTAAAGGACTACAAGATTTGCCGAAACAGCTAATATTTCAAGAACTTTGTTCATGAACATAAACTCATAAACTAGAACGTCGAAGTCGCCATGGCTCGCTGTCCAAGGCAGGAAGGGAGGCTGAAGGTAGGGTTGGGGATGGGCATGATGGAAGGGGATCAAGATTCTTGTTGATGTGCCTAGGTGTAGGGGTCAGTTTTTAAATGTCAACATAAAAAGTTAACAGATTACCTAATAAATACATATGTATAGGTTAGCCGTCACTGTATTATGCGGGAGTTTTCCATTGTTAGGGTAATTAGTACCCAGTTGTGGATTTTTGCAGCCCCAACAGTGTCTTCTTGTCCCCATAATTGTATTACCACGGGAAAACTCTTGTGTAGTCGCCACAAATGCATAACAAGAATGGGTATACATGTACATGTAGACACAGCACCATCACCACCTCCCCAAAACCTTACCCCATCCCCAACCCGCCCCCTCCCCCTCCCCCACCCAACCCCCTACCCACACCCATTCCATCCTCCCCTAACCATCCCCACCCTATCACCTACACATCCCAACCCCACCCAAACTCCAATCCCTATCTCCTTCCCCCTCCCCTGACCCATACCCTCCCCTACCCCAACCCCCTACACCCACCTACCCTATCTTCCCTTATCTGTCCTTACCGAATTCCACTATCCCGCCCACCCCATTCCCCCACCCATACATCCCCACCAGACCCCATGTAACGCCTACTCTGATCCCTATATACTGCCCCCTCCCCTTATCCAACCCCTACAACAACCCATCCCTACCCATCCCCTACTCCGATCCTATATCCCGCCCCCTGCCCAACCCCCTCCTAACCCAACCCCTACATCCATGCCCATCCTCTCCCTACCTGTCTCTCCCTACCTGTTCCCACCCCACCCGTACAAATCCCCACCCCACCCAAACCCAGTATTCCAAACCCTCTCCCCACCCCAACCTACACCGCCCCACCCATCCTAGCCCCCCTACTCATCCTACTCACACAAACCCTAACTCCAACCCTATCCCCCAACCCACCCCACCCCACCCTCCCCTACCCCATCCCTACTCCAACCCCATAAACTAAAAGATCAAACCAGAAGCTCATGCACATCACCAAAATGCATAGTGTACATGTACATGTACATGTTATACCGGTATACACACATGTACATGTTATACCAGTATACATGTACGTACATGTAACAATTAAAAACATAAACATTTCCTTGAATTAAAATTCCTCATTAAAATCATAAAATTTACTGCAATGATATGAACCTAACTGAAGTTATAAAGATGATACATGACAACTGCATTTAATTTTTTCGGACAGACGGACGGAAATTGGTATTACATAGGCTCGCATCTGCTTCGCAGCTCGCCAAAAATCATAATGCCCTGTGCCTGCTTCATTGAACAGACATACATGTAGATTTACTGTTTACTTTTGCAAGTTACTGTCCATTACTACATCCATTTGTTTATTTTACTACGATTTTACAATATATATAGGCCCTGAAGTATTTCATTCCTGTTTCTTAATGCTGTATACCACTGCATTTGTTTAAAATAGAAGTATGGAAAGAAATGTGAAAGTAATTGGGAAAAAAATATAGAATTGAAGTGAATGTTAGCTGAATGTTCAGTATAGCGGTGTTTGTTATTGTGATGTTCTTCTGTACAAGTGTTTTCAAAATGGTACTCAAGTTGTACTCAAGTGAGAGTGCACAAAAAAATTATGTAGAATACCGATAAATCTTTATTTATTCAATTACTGTTACACGTCATGTAACATCCAAGTAATGATTTATGTAATACTTTTTAACTCTGAACTCAAAAAGTTTGTATTACAATGCCTTTTCCACGCATAAACAATATCTCTTGTTTTTCTTCCTTTTTTCCCCCAATTTGTTGTCAGTGTTCATCCACATAACATTATAGACCAGGGAATTGTATCCAACTTGGTATAAAGTTTACATGAACATGCACATAAATATGACATTTCTCCAATTATCATCAAAAAAGATAAACTAATACACAGAAAAACATATACATGTACACTGTAATGAAAAAAAAACAGGTGGTGATGAAGGCATAGCTGCCAACATTTCAAAATCCCAATTAGTAATCAACCTGCGCGGTCATTTTCAACTGCTCGTTTTATCAAAAGCTTTACCAACATCGAGTACAGGTACATGGTTTACATGTACACATACATGTGCATACCCTTCTTCTTGTGAATAATAATGTAATGTAGGCCAAAAGATAATTTATTTTTTTTTTTTTTTTTTTTTTTTTTTTTTTTAATTAATTTTTTTTAATGTCTGTATTTGTTTGTTGGAGTCAAATAAATAATAACAATAATAAAATATGCGCATATTTTTTTGGAGATGCATGCTATCGATGTGGAGTTTCGAGTTCGTATCAATGTTTTTACACACAATGATTTAGGGCCACCGTCATGACCGTATGCAATAGAAATATCCCGCCAACATACCTTGCAAACGCATGCTGATTTATCTTTTCTGGACGTTGTGACAAACTCAAACTGTAATACCAATTATTCCAACCATACTCTTATTAAATTCCATGATTTAATTGTCGCACTGATGGGTCTCAACCCGGCAAAAAGCGACCAAATGTGCTCACGATCGTCACTGAAAAGTACTCACATACAGTACACACAACCACACATCCACGAGATGCACACAAATGACACACCATTGAAAACTAGTTTTAGTCTGGTCCTCAAGTACTCCACTGCGCACACTGCATTGATGTCTATCAGGTGCTTGACTGCATTCTTATTAGACTTGTCACCAGTCCATCCATTATCGCGACATTTCGCCAGAAGTTTTCGGTCAAAAACGATACTTTACAAAATTTTTTTTTTCATTAGGTAGAAAATGGGAAATTCGTAATGTTTTAGTGGCAAATCGTATTTTCGTAATTTAACAAACAATTCGTAATAATTACGAAAAATTAGTAACAGTTGGCAGCTATGTGAAGGTTCATGGATTCTTACTTACGAATGTACATGTACTTACAAGAAGAAGTAAAAACCCCAGGAAGCCCCAGCACCCCAAACATTGGGTACAACTCCTTGATATAATCCTCTCCATCCATTCTGTCTGATGACATGTTTGCAAGTATCAGTAACACCTCGGTAAGTGGGACGTGCTGTGTTTCCATCATTAACTTTGTACATATTTGAATAAAAAGTAAGAAAAGGGTATGAACCCCTTGCATTCTGAACAAAAAAACACTTTTTTTTCTTGGTGTTCACATAATGCCAAACAGTTACATGTTTATAGTACTAAAAGTACGATAAAACATTATTCTCTCCACTCACAAACAGCAGGGAATTGTTTTTTAAATTGTTAGCAACATTTTATTCTGCATCAAAAATGTCAAATTTGCATTGAAGCAACCTCTCTTTTATAAATTCATAACTGTTGTTTAATCAACTCAAGATGTATTAAAGGGATATTTGGAACTCCCTATGAAATATGGGGAAAGACTATTTATCCTGGCAAGGTGCTTGAGGAAAAAAATCAAAGTGCTGAACATAAGTGGATGCATGTTAGGGGACATGGACATGCTGTACAAGTAAAGTGAATCTACTCACCCTGTAATCTGATCTTGATCAGGTCCATTGGATGAAGCATCATTGTAGATACAATTCCACCACTGATTCCTGCCACAAGGTGTTCATACCTCAGCTGGTTCCACACTGTATGCACGCTTCTGCCGATATCACTCATAACACTTGACATTACTGGTTCTCGAGTGTCAAGTAAAAACAATGGACCTGACCTGTGAATCAAATTAATTACAATTAAACCAAATTTAATTGGAATGTATAATCTAATGCACAATGCACTGAATAAATCTATCCAGCTGTGCCATATCAGAAATTGATGTTTTCTGGTTTAAAGGTAGATACATCAATGTCACAACTTGAGGACTTTTCACCTGTTGCCACCACTTTGCAGGTGTCTTGCCCGCTTGGCGAGCAAGTTGCAGGCTTCGCAGACAAGACATCCACTTTGCTGGCATGTCACCTAATTTGCGGACACATCACCTGCTTTATAAAATCTCTGGAGGGATATATTTCAGTAACTCACATTTACACTATGTCCGAGCAAATATACATGTACCTCACACCATTTTAAGCAATTACACTTAATGATGTTTGATCATACATGTAAACAGGTACTAACGCTAGGAACAGTCATAAAACTTATCCAACAATGTATTTGATGTTACGTACTAGTTCTGAATATGCATGAATGTTTCAAGGATTTGAGGCACATCATATCTTTGTGAGATGCATGTGGAAATACCTCCAATATTTACATGTACTTATACATGACTTACATGTGAGGTTCTTCTTTGGTGTTTTCTTTGCTTTTCTTGTTTAGTTTCCATCTTAAAGTTTCTCAAATTGTTTGAACATTTGTTGAGTTCTTGATCTTTGGAAATTTCTACATGTACATAGTTTGACCTTCATAGTCTTCATTCAGGGATTGAACTTCAGATTGAATCTAAAGTACTAGGAGAGAAAAGGGGAGTAGCCAATAAACTTAAATGTAGATACACTATATAACGATATAGCAACGATAATTCGGGCGATTCACAATGCAGTGCGTCACCAAGAGTTTGCCACGGAGAGTTTGTTTTTCAAGGTCACGGTCGACAAAACATGGCCCATTTGAACGAGTGTCAGTAGAAAACTTGAGCTTATTTGTTATAGATTGGGGCCAAGCGTTCTGCCGCCTTACCAAAAAACTCCATATTGATAAAACGAAAAGAAAAGGGCAAACAGATACTCGAATCATACGCTTACAAACTTTCTGGCTGGAAAAACTAACAATTTCAAATGTCCCACGCTGCGAATTTGTCGACCATCTCCCACAATGCACTGGGAAAAATGAACTCTCCGTGGCAAACTCTTGGTGGCGCACTGCATTGTGAATCGCCCGAATTGAAAAAACGGCATTTATTTAATAAATTCAAGTAAATGTAAAATATTTGGTCATTTGAAAACAGAAATGAACATCAGTTCAAAAGATGCACATTTACCGTAACTTGGTCAAAAATTCATGTCGTCAAATGTAGCATTGGTGAAAAACCACCTGTACCGATGATTCCTTTAATGGACCTCAGTCTTGCTTAACAGTGATATGTTCAGCCTTGTTACTGGTTAATAAGGGATGATATGATTTGGCCACTAAATACATTCATTTCAAAATCAGGCGAAATTTATGCACAAGTTTAATTTTGCCATTTAACAAGCATGGACCTCCTGCTCAAAAAAGTTAGAAAAGAGTTACGGTATCATTTGTATCTATTGGAGTATCGAGTCGGTTCCTGACGTTGGCAATGACTGTGGTCTCATCCTGCTGTTTGCAAAGTCGGACAATGTCCAGAAGTTTGACTCCTGTGACGTTTTTCAAGTCAGTCCAGGTACCAGTACGTGAGCCACTGTCATCCCCTCACTCATTTATCCTCGATCTTTCCAGTGAGGGCAAAATCTTCGAATTTTCCTTTTCATAGCACTTGTCCCAGGAAACGTAATTGGTAGTTAACAATTTTTGTCATGAGCTGCCTAGATGTTCCAGTGCATTGCAAGTACCACCTAGTGTGAGATTCTGTCCACTCATGCAACTCGCAGCATCCTTGCAAAAACTTTATCTCGGCAGCTTCCTGCCTCTGTTGCATCGTCTTGCTGATCATCCAACTCTCACTATCAGAGAGAAGCATCAACCACACATAGCACTGCAGAAGGCACAAATCTTGTTGCGACACGGATGCCTAAAGATGCCAGGACGCTCTCTATCTCCATCTTCGTGATTCCGATCCTTCTGTTGATCTCCTCGTCTGATTTTCCATCTCAGACTGCCATAGTATGAAAACCGTTGGGCTTGTTCCAGCACCTCTCCTTTCACCGTGATATTACAGGTTGAGGTGATTGAACTCTTTAGAAAAAAAAATGTAACGAAAGGCTTTTTCCTGTGAAGGTCAAGTCCCTTCCTCTCACTTTCCTCCAAGACGGTGTTCACGATATCCTATATTTTCTGTTCTGAGTCAGCCATGAGCGCTGTGTCATCCATGTAATTTTCAAGATGGTTCTGCAAAAGTATGCCATATTTGACTCAACATTTCATTAAATTATCAAATTAAAATTGCAATGGAAAAACATTTCAATACAAGTATTGGTATTTTAACTACTAAAATATTGACTTAAAAGAATAATTTTAATCAATTTTTAAAGTAGGGTAAGAGGGGGTATTTTTGACCAGATGATAATTTGACTGCCCGTTACTGATTGCTCAATAAAATGCATCCGAGGTATCATGTTATCATAATAAATCGTACACATGATGTGCAGTTCCTGCCCTTGATTGTCCATTGTTGAGCTCCGTGAAATCTTCGTAATTCATTCCAAAATTGGAGTCGCGTAATCCGTTGAGTGTTGCAGCGGCCATCTTATCCGGTCACGTAAGGGCAGGCTTCAAAATTGAGAGTTCGCGAAGTCAGCGAAGTTCGCGAACTAGTTTTGATTCCAAGTTAGGACTAGACTTCGAGCTGTGCAGGTTCATTTGCATCGCATGACAATGCGCCTTTGTTATGCTAAAACTATGCTAATATGCTACAGCTGCTGGGTTCGCGAAATGCGCGAAACTGGCGTACGTGGAGTTCGCGTAAGCTACCGGTCAGTGCTCCGGTAATATTCAGGCTTAGTTGCGTCGGCGGTATTTGTTAAACCAGGAGCTAGCAAGGCGCTGTGTTCCCAAATATTTTTTGATGTGGCAAATTTCCGTCACATCGTTTGATAATGTTGACAACTTGAAATCAACTTCCTGAAATCGGAATGAAAATTCCTTGCCGTAAGTTTCGTGGCCCTTGGGCAATATTTTAACTTCACACCTGCGGTATTCATCAAGCACAAAGACTGCCAAAATGTATTTTCAGAAAGCGTTTCGCCTCAAAATACGATCTATATTATTTGTATATGAACTGCACTTTTTCATATAATTAAGCACCGATTGTCGTGATACAGAAAAGTGTACTATCCATGGCTTCCGATTTCCGCATTCTGTAGAACTTATTTACTGGTGATGTTGTCTGCATGTAGCCCTTTCTATTTTTCCTCCGTAAGGTAGAATTGAAGTGGAGTATATCAGGCCTAATACGTTTATCAGTAAAACAACTTCAAGTTGCTGCGGATCTCCCCGGCCATGCTCAGAGTTTCACTCTGAAAATAAATACTTCCGTCTTTTTTGAAATGCCTTAGCAATACATAACACATTTTCTTTTGAAGGAGGTAATGCACCCAAACGCAAATATTTTAGCCGAACAATTATTAATCTTTATGCTTAATGACCGTAAAAGCAATTAAAAAATGAACCGTAATTTTAGAGGGATAATAAAAAGCGTCCAATTAGGATAGAATAAATCATTTCCCGTTTCTTCAAAACATACATGTATATGAAAATTTCGTCACAGAATTGGAAAGAAATTATTATAATAAGACACTGAAGAGAACGGTTAAATCAACTTTGACTATGCAGTTTAGAAACTGTTTTATGAATATTTACGAAGCCGACACACGTCAATAGATATCCTTGACAATAATGTTACTATGGAAATGCCTTGCACTAGTTAACCTATATATGGGATGTTTGGGCGGGTCTTATTGCCTATCAGTGAACTCCAGTTTGGCGGGAACATTTTCACAGCTCATCGCATTGGTGGTGACACGCCGTCGTCATGACGATCTACCTGTCTGTCTTGCGCTTCACAAGTTCCCACACTCTTATTTGGGCAAGGAGCCAAACCAGCCAGACCAGTTTTGCGCCAGGCATTGTGTGGAGTTGCCGACGGCTGTTTAATGTGCAGGCTGTTGGGCTGAAACGCAGAGTTCGCGAACCACATGCTCAGCTAGCTAGCTAGCTGTGCTGCAGTCGTGATCCCTGTATCAATGGATGTAAAAGGTCGCATGGGAGCTGACTTCAAGCGCAATTGTAATGTTTTCGGATTGTACAGTACAACGTGTGCATGCACATATGTTGTTCTATATCATGTATGATTGCATTTTTACTCCCCATGGAATTCTGAAGCTTTTTACTTCTATGGGCGGATAAATTGTGATTCAGTTTTTGTTTTCTTTATTGTGTTCGGGTGAACTCATAAGTCTGAAATAAAGCAATTTTGAGGAGGGGGTGGATTTTGCATGCTTGTACATTATTATTATTTTTTTTTTACAATTTTTACAATTTTCTCCTCGTCAAAGATCTCCATCAGGATCTGTACATTTCTAATATGATTGTTCTTTTACACTGAAGTTCAATGAGTAAATAAATATGAAATTAGTAAGTTACTTTATTATTGCATCATCGAACTCAAACATGTCAAAGTTCACCAAGATATTATGTTGAATATGAGCTAGGCGGCAGGGTTTTGATTGATGAACGGGAATCAAAAACTATAATTATTATAATATACACGATTACCTTAAATTGTATGATAATTGATACACATCGAAGTGAATTGGGCATAATAATAATGGAATGTAGACACTACACGTATCATGGGCGGCTGCAAAGTTGGTCTGCTACTGCTACAGTACTATAGGCAAGATGATAAGTACATCAACAACATGTAGACTCATCTGATCTACGATGTGAAGACTCAGTCGGCCAAGGAAGGCAAAATTCTGCACCTCGTTCGTGTCATTTCTCACTGGATACGGGTGCTTCTTTGCATTTGGTGATAGACTCTGCAATGTTCGCGGGAGCCCTATCACATGT